TTCAGAGTTAGACATAAAAGTTTATTTCTTCAGTGGATTATACAACGGAAATGTTGTCAACTACGTAATTGGTATCAAAGAAAAAGCACCGGATTTCAGTCTAAACAGCTAAGACAACATTTAAAATTTTCTCTTACCTGCTGTTATTTCTTCCTATTCACTTTATACAGTCATACCATGTCCTTGCATCTAGTAGCCTGGTGAACCATTCGAAAATAGGCCTCAGTTCTTGTTTTTTTCACCTACAGTGTATTTGCACAAAAGAGCACAACTGTTTGGTCGAACAGCAACGGATATAATTTAATCGGACATACCCATATATGATATATAGCATATATAATTAAAATTGACCCCGGAATTTTTGTTTTACTGCTATACATTTAGTTCTCAGTATCGTCGACATGAGTATAAATCTCTTGTCACTTCTCCGGATTCGTAACGCGTACATTTCCTTGCCTCTAGTAGACTTGAAAACTTTTTAAACAATGATTAAGTGCGTTCTACGCAACAAAATGATGCTGTTTTGCGCAAGTACACTGCAGGTGCCAAAATACAGCGGAACCGAATCCTGCTTAAACGGTCCCTTAGGCAAGAAGTAACGGCGACGGCGCGCTTTTCCGCGCAAGGTCGAAAAATTGACAGAAGGTTTATATTCTTACCAGCGGTATTGAACGCTTGCAGTTTGCTAGCAAATCATTAATACCGTGGTTGTCTGTTTTAATTATATTTTCTGTCATCGCTGGTACTTTGTTTTTATTGTTTCTTTATATGTGTTTTATATTTATATTTTATATGGTCGATTGTGAAATTAGGCGTTTTTGCTTCTGGACGAAAGACGGTTCGCTTCGCAAAACAGGGGTCTGGACGCAAGGAAAACTGTCTCATTTGGCCAGACTGATAACGACGTCATTATGGATAAGTTCTACGCCAAGTACGATCCGGTAAACGTCATCTACGTTATATTTAACAAATGTTCGCTCAGTTTTTGTTTGTGATACGAGATTTTCCAGTTAGTTAGTATTACAGAAGTTTTGAATTAACAGTAAATGAGTACAGTTAAAGTTGTAGTTGCAGTTTAAATTTTTGCTAGCGTTATTTGATAAAATATCTTATCTCAGTTTGCTGTATTGTTTTGCCCAAGGAAATGATTCAGGGCCTTGAGCCATCGTATATTTTGTATTCCACAGTTTACAGATTTATAATCCTTCATTTTACATTCTTTCTGTTTTGCTTTCGCATGTCTGGGATTTGAAACTCTACAAAGTTGATACATTCGCAGTAGAATGCTTTTCTTTGTAAATGAGCATGCGTGGAAATTAGATAGCGAATGTATCGCATAAACTTAAACAGACTAGCAATACTGAGAATAGTGAGAATGAGGATGGCGCAATAATCAGCCTATTTAATGACAGACCATAGGCTGAAAAAATACCGCTCTTTTCTTAATGTTCGAAGGTATCCTATCGTTCTTTTAACAAAGCCATATTAAAGACGGCCCTGAACGAGACGGTGGACCAGATGGATCGATGTGTAGGAGACTTGGCATCATAGCGCCTTAAAACTTCAAGCCACCGAGCATGTTCGCGTATTGTCTCAAAACACGGACTGAATTAGACAATTATTTGTAATCTATTAGCTCTTCATTTTATCCCGGTGTATCCGAGGAAATCGAGATTTCTGAAGAAGCAGGGTACGAAAGCCTGTTTCGCGGCTTTACTTCAGGGTCGATCATTTATAAATGGTAGAAAACGTCAATTAGGTCACGTTTTCGCATAATTAGTACTAAAGATAAATGCATTTATGTACTAATTTACATTAGAAACATTTAAAGCTCAGACGAGGGAACACAGAAGAGCCACTGCCAATAAGCATCCTCGGCATTCTGATTTCGTTGCCCATAGAGAATAATCATGAACTGGTGAACGGTAATATTTCTGCGACTGGTCTTAAGAGAGGCAAGATAAAGCTCGTTATTCAAGAAGCATTGCACATTGCAGCGAATGGTATAGCTGACAGTATTATGACTGCGACAGCTCTTACACTATGTAGAGAACAAGGGAACTGCTCTATGATCTAATTTCGCGTTCTGTCAGATTTCTAATGCGTTTAAGATCGTTTACTATGAGGAATTTCTGGGGGCAGGATCAAGAGGCATTACCGATGTGGTCTTTTAGCGCCTAGCAACGCGTTTTTCTTTTGATAACTGGTAACGGCAAGTAACATGGGCAAGAAAAGCAAATGGTTTGGAGGAGCGCAGATAAGGGATGCAGACTGATTTGAGGACTGTCCTTGTTGTTGATCTTTGTCACAGCTTTTGCGGATCAGATGATCGCCTGATTCCCAAAGTTTTGAGGTACTTGGAAAGGCTCTTGGAATATTGATTATCTTGTCCCGTAACCGAATTGTGACTATGTATTCAAGCTGTCTCTTTGCTTCCAAATACATAGATGATCGTCGAGCACGCCACGGTCCATATTACTTGAGCACCTGCGGTACGTGCGCTATCATCAAATACATGTTAAAGGACAGTGGTGCTCGAATGCCGCTTGCTCGGCCCAACTCGGCTGATGCTAGAGCGCGTATATATTCGGCTGAACATGGCGAAACGCTCTGGCATCCACGCATTCCAGCTGCTAAGACACACTGGAGCCGTTGCCTGCTCCAGTGGTAATCTAGACATCTAAAAGCAAAGAAGTGTTATTAATACAACATGATGATCCGCTCAAAGCGTACTGTTTTGGCCGTTGGTATCGAAAACAACCACTGGTAGCACTCGTCTCAGAATATCATAGTTATACGTTGTGCATTTGTATTCATTGTATCCACTGGCCATCTGAATACTTGCTTTAGAAAATTCGCGAATACTTGAAACGGTCAGACGATTTACCTAATTATCAAATCGTTGCTACTGCAACCCCGTGCGATACACGCGTACACCCGACTTAATACGCAAATGCGAACGTACGCAAATCATCCCGAAAGGATCATAGAAAAAAGTTTCGAATTATAAAATGTTTATGCGCATAACGCGCATACATTACTCGCACGGCGAAAGTACCCAATGGTACTGGTAGCAGATCTCGATTACGCTGACGATACTGTACTACTAAGCGATTTCGGCAATGGACTACTGATAATAAACGAAGAAGTATGCAAGGTGGCCTTAACGCTAGGCCTAGATTTTAATCCCATCAAAACGCAGATCGTGCGAGTACTCGACTTGACTAACGACCCAAAGATTGAATGGAGGGCAACGTCCGTGATCGAAAATTTCCGGTACCTTGGCTCTGTACTGGCAAGAGGTGGAAGCTGTGACATGGAAGCGAACGACGTTTGGGGCTGGCATAGGAGAATCTTGAGTGCCTTTTTACAGTGTCCCAAGGCTGATCTCTCAGAACAGCAGCCAGGACTGCCATACTGAGGCCGCCGTCTTCTCGGTCCATATGCTTACTTTCAAAATATCCTCCCTTTTGAGCTTGACGAAACAAAGTTGGAGAAGTTCCAGCAACGCTGAAGAGCATTTTGAAAGTGTGATGGTTCCACCGAATGAAGAAAGATCTTGAAGATTTCCGGCATGGGAAGTCTCTCTTAAGAAATCTTAAGAAATCAGATACAAGCGTCTGTTGTGATTTGATAGAACCATCCGGAGAGAGAATGGAGACCTATCCAAAATCATTCTCATTTGAAAAGTAAAAGATAGCCGCAGAGACGTCGGACTCCAGCATCTCATCCTAAGGCATCAGCTAGAGGGCGCCTTGCTTGCTACGAGAAATATGACCGTTCCCCCACCAACCAATATCTCATAAATTCTTCTGAGGAGCCAAATAATCTAGGTACCCGGTATTTGGCCATGATATCTCAAATGACGATTACAGCAACAGCTGGCACGCCGCCTAGCAGTAGTTTTCCGCCAGGCAGACGGCCGATTTGTGCATGTATGGGCCTTCCCCAGTCTCGCTTTGCTTACTACTGGACACGACATGCCTTGTGTTTGCATTCAAAAACTTTAATAACTTTTACTGCTAGCGTGTGTTGTATTAGAATGCAATCCAAATTTATAAAGTGAAAAAAGAATCCATTCTCTTGATACAGTTATATCTTGATAATTTCAAAAGGAAGTTCGAAAAACCAAATTAAACATTCTTTTTATTTTTTCTTGTACTGTTTATCCCATTTTATGTTGCGTTGTATTATTAGTTACAAATTGAAATCTAGTTTTGTACGTGTCCTGTGAATGAAACCATCAGAAGTAGTCTCTAAAACATGCTAATATGCTATTGCATGCGCGTACAGTGCATAAGTAAGCAACTGGGCATGATCAACAAGTGCGGGTTGGTCGAATCCGACTTACGTAAAATTCGTATTAAGTAAAGTTTTGCGGAAAACACTCTTTCTTAAATCGGGACCTCTCTGCTTGCAGAATTCCTTCATTAATGTCAGACAACCACAATAATGAGGAAAAACAGTTCTGAGCTATAAAGGCTCCGTTTTTGTAAATGATGCTGTTCTCCGGTTTCGAACCATTCCTGCTTTGTTATGGCTTAGAAATCTTAAAGGCCGGTGAATGCAATTTTGTGCTGCATGTATTCTTTTGCTGAAGTTGATGATGTGGATGATTGACGATGACATAAAATATGGGCAGACATTGACTCAGTAACGTACGATGACGGACGATTTCGAACAACGGTTTTCACGTGTCACGAAAATTTTCAGAGTTACACATCAGTTAAGTATTTCGATAATTCGGTGTTGTCAGCGAGATGAAAATTTCTTAGAAGACGAGACTGCAGGAGACGTTCCGATTCATACATTACCCGTCTTCAGTGAAAGGAAAAGTCGAAACAGTTCGAATGTTTTTAATGCCTGAATATGTGTGCAGTATGTTTCATAACGTTTGGGACTTAATACATAACGAAATTACGAGTCAGTGTCATCTTATGATGGATTTTTGTATTTGTTTTTTGGATTAAATATCTGCGTAAGTGATGCATACCTGTTTTTAGCGATTCTGTATTAATAACTTGAAACCGGAGTTTTAAGTTAACTTCTGTAGGACATTTGTAACTGAATTATTTTGATACAAATTGAACAATTGTCCCATTCTATTCCAAGTGCCTTTATTAATCGCGATTCGTTGTTTAGTCTTCGGACACATTTGCTCTTTCTGACATAAGTTTCAAAGTCAAACGTGGCCAACTGTTAGCCATAGTCGGGCCGGTGGGATCGGGCAAGGTATCTGTGCATAAACACTTAACTTTCGAAAGTGAATTCTGTTTTCTTCTTGTAGTCGTCGGTGTTGACCAGTCTCATTGGTGAAACGGTGAGGGTAGGCGGCACAGCGACGGTCAGCGGACGCATCGCGTACGTTCCTCAAGAGGCGTGGCTTTTTTCAGGCACCATTCGTCAAAACATCTTGTTCGGTAGGTCATACAACCCTTCGCAATATCAGAAAACGATCGAAGCAGCTTGTCTTCTGGAGGTAGGTCTGTCAGCTGGTCAAATCGTAAGGTGTCCGACGATATAACGTTGTAGGACCTGAAGCAGTTGCGCGATGGTGACCTGACGTTGGTAGGTGACAAAGGCGCCTCGCTCAGTGGCGGACAAAAGGCGCGCATCAATCTTGCCAGGTAAAATGTTACACGTTCTGTTAAGAATTTCCGGCTCGGTTTATTGCACCGACTTAGTTTCCGGAAACCAGTCCTGCCGAATAAGTACTAAAATAAAATACTGTTAAACATAGTATCATGACTTGTTTTCACTCGGTCTGAAGGAACTGAACGGTTCTAGACGGTTGGACCACCGCAACTGTGATTTTAGTCCACAAACAGATAGACAGATGAGGTTTTAATAACTGCAGGACATTAGTCTGTTGCCAGTCATCTATAAGACCTTCACAAGGGTACTGTGACCAACAGACTTTAAGAAAACTGGAAACTTCACAGCCAAATGAGCCAGCAGCATCCAAAAAAGGATTGTGCATGGTGAATTATTTCCAGGTAGTGCAACAAGTAATTCAGTAAGGCAAGCAACGAATATTAGGTTACGTTCTGCCTGGGGTTCATCGATTTCAGGAAGGCTTTCGATTCCATGTACATTCGTTTTATACTAGATTCCTTGAAGAGCGGAGGAATCGAGAAGAGTTACAGAGACTTCATCGCCCTGATCTGTAAGAATGCAGTTACTTGTGTAATGCTTCACAATGGCACATGCAAGTTCAAAATCAAGAAGGGCATATGACGGGGAGAAGCAATATCACAAAATTATTCCCATCAGCCCTAGAGTCGGTTGTCAAGACACTGCCTTGGAAAACCTTGGAAAATCAGGGATTGAAGATAAATTGGCAGTACTTAAACAATCCGCGGTTTGTGGACGAAATTCTGATCCTCTGAAGGTCATCAGAAGTACTGCAACAAAGAATCCGAGAACCGAATGATGCCAGCATCACATTCGGACTGAAAATGAACCTGAAGAAGACTCAGATCAAGATCAGATAATAATCAGATTAAAAAATACATGACCGCGCGACATGTTCAAGTCGACGGACTTAGGCCGGAAGAGGTTCAGAATCACCTCCATTCGGGGGCAGCTCATCTCTAACTGAGCACTGACTGTGGAAGTCAACTGAAATCATCGTAAACATGTCAAGAAGCACTTTTGGACGACTGCAAATGTTCCTATCCGGGAAAATGCCCTTGTACTTGCAGCCCTTGTTCGATCAGTATCTGCTCTCAGGGCTAACTTTGGGGTGCGAATCGTAGTCCTGAAAGCTGTTCTTAAACTGCAGACCGCGCAACGCAGCATGGAGATATGTATGTTGTGAATAACAAGAATAAATACGAAGAGGAATGAATGGATGAGAGGACAAACAAAAGTCCGCGATGTCGCTCTCCGAGCGAACAAGCTAACGCGGCAGTGGGTAGTGTACGTTGCAAGAAGAACCGACCATTGCTGAACCAAAGAAGCAGTAGGCTGGGTTCCAACACTAAACATAAACATATGTAGATAGACCTCAAGCCGGTGGCACTATTAGCTTAAAAAATTCGCTGGATCAAGATTGATGAAAATGGCCAAAAAACAAAGTCTGTGGCAAAGTCTTGGAGGGGCCTTCTTCCAGTAGTAGCTGACTAAAGGCTGAATATGATGTTGATAATAGCATCGTAGTGCTAATGTCATCGAGTATTCCGAAGGATAGATCAGTCAGTCGTCTTTAGTGCACATAACCGTTCTGTAAACAGGTAGGTCTTTCAACGCAGAATAAATCACAGCGAATAAATCACAGCTATTGCAACAGGGCTGTATTTCAAAAAAGCTCCAAATTGCTGCCTTGCAACAGCAAGGCGCGAGGTCGGCGGTGGAACCGTTGCGCCAACAAACTGCTGAGTTGGTGTTGCCTTCGAGCTGGTTCGGTGTCCCACATCTGTTCTATCTCCTTTGCGAGGGGAGAAGGCTCAGTGGAGCCGTTGGCACGCTACAGTGCGTATCCGCTTACCACTCTTCGATGATATTTGCGATCATATCCTATCCAGCTGATCTTCATGTAGCTGGATCACTAGCCATCTTCCGC